ACGCACACACAAAAGCAGCAGAGCTCCCAAAGTTTCCCAGTAAAGTCTCCTGTACAAAACCTCAAGCGCCGTGGTGAAGACAAATTACAGCAGCTCTAATGGATAATGATGACTGAACTTGGTGACCAAACTGCAGCTGCATATGGCTTTTCCAACTGCTGTGTCCATCAGTTAGCACTGTTCCTCAGAGAAAAAAGAAGAAGATGAAGATGAAGATGTGTCTCTGAGCAAGTCTGAACAAGGAGGAGAAGGAGTCTCAGAATAGAGCGTGTCCAGTACAACGGCAGATCTCTTTAACCCTCTCAGGCTCAAAATAAGTTTTGATAAAAGGACGAACAAAGTCCTTCAGGGGTACTTCTGAGTAAAAAAAATGCTCATGAAATACGTATGTGGAGTAACCAGGTAGGAAGGTTTTAACTGTTGCAAATCTGCAACGCCTGCCTCCAGAGGGTCAAAGTTCAGGGACTTGGAGCTCTGTAATACTATCATTGTGTTAAGTCAAAAGAAGCTCTTTAATTTGGTTTAAGGGTTTTATAAGTAAACATGGCTGAAAAACAATCTCCCCTATTTGTTAGTTTGATTTAAGCATGTTTTCTTGGCGAAGCAGAAGCTCCTCAGTCAGAATCTCAACTGTCAAACAGATCATCATGAAATCTGACCCAAGAGTTTAAAGATCATTGTAGGAACTGAAAGCTGCACACAGAAATAAATAAAAAGAGCTCACCTGGCACATGACCCGCATGTTTTCTTATGTCTGTTTGTATTATTCCTCCAGCTGGCCCATACACTGATATTGTTATGACATAATGAAAGGAAAAATGACGTTTCAGGCCCCTGGAAAACATAAAACCTCCAGTTAAAATGAATGCTCTTAATAGAGTAACAACAAACATGCTTGCAGGGGAGATTCTAAATAAGTGTTTTAGCAAAGTTTATTTTACGTGGATAATGTTCCTATTGCAAGCCTGGACTGCTGTGGATGTGCAGGGGGTGTGGTTAAACATGTTGTTTTGCACAGAAAATGTTTAATCTTTAAACAACTCAATGAAGTTTGTTAATTCAAATGTGTTTTAACTGATTAAGCCTTATATAAATTAGATTTTTAACTATTTCTTCATACTTCTTTTAAATGGTGTAGAGACTGAAAGGCACCGATTGCTTGTTTATAATTGATATTTGTGTTATAAACATCTTATTACATGTAGTTATTTATTTTGTGTGCCTTCCTGCAAAAAAAGCAAAATCATTTGTTCCACAGTTGCATCTGATTTTAGCACTGATGTCACTAACAACACATGCATGTATGCACGCATGCAAGCACACACACACACACACACACACACACACACACACACACACACACACACACACACACACACACACACACACACACACACACAAGAATATTCATAGAAAGGGAGCCGGGCTGCAGCTCCATTGTTTAAACTGTCGTGCGCCAAGAATTAAATTCCTCCATCATGATGGGGTGATGAAGGAGATGGGAAACAGTTGGACACTGTAGACAGGAACAGAAACAATCGCTATATTTAGAAACAATGCAGGGATGAAGAAAAGATGAGCACCTCAGACAATTACTAGATAGATGAAAGATATTCAAGAATTTGAATGGAGAATGACACTTTATTACTGTGACCTCATGACCCTTGCAACAATTGAACAGCTGATTTCATTTGAACTGTCCTGTGCTTACATGTGCGCATGCATGCATGTGTGTGTGTGCACACGTGACACATACAGTAAGTTCATCTACAAGAAAATTTGATGGGTCTGTAACTGTTGTTGTTGCACAAGAAGAGGAACAAACCCAGAGTTTGTTTTGCCCAAGCTATAATAACAACCCAAGACAAGACAACAGGAAGTGTAACTGGTTTTATGTATCTTTAGATTTTTTTTTAGGTATGAAAGCTCAACTGAGTGGGGCTTCAAGCTGCCTCCACTACAACACCCACTAGAACCACAGTAAGAAATCCAAACCCACTGACCCGAGTCACTAGGACCTTGTTTAAATAACAATAATTCATCCTCATCGTGTCTATTTTGACTCTGGAGAGTGTTCAGAAGGAGCAGAGAGGAAAAAAAAAGAAGGTAAAGACCCTGACCAACACACACGGAGAACCTTAAGGCTGTCACACACAGTGTACGCCTGATATTCTGATGTAAAAACACGCAGCCTGTATTGAACATTTCTGTGTGAGATCATGGCTGACTGGTGACTAATAATATTATTAGTAAAAATAAATACTTGTTTACCTATCATTTTAATTGGTTGATGCAGGTGAAAATTTTGAATACAAATAATGATCAAATGTGTGAAAAATGATCAATCTAAGTGATAAAATTAACTAAGTAATAATTAGTTGTTGAAAATGTGTTTGTTGAAAATTCAATCCAATCCAGCATCGATCAATAAATCCTGACACCCCCCAAAAAATCACCGGTTTTAAAATGGCAGAAAAGAACACGTTTAACTGTTTGTGAAAACAGATTAATTATCCCAATTTAGTTGTTACTAAGCCAAAATATGTTGTTGATGGACACAACCACAATGAGCAGTCTCACCTGTTCAAAACCATCATGTTTTCAAGCATAAACTAAATATTTATGAATAAATGCATCATAAAAATATTCATTTGACCATTCTGCAGATTGAGACAGATGCTTATGTTACAAGCAAGTTACCTCGCTTGATACCTTTTTCCAAATAAATAAATAAAGATAAATCTAAATTTGCTGCCATTATAAAGGTGTTCAAATAAAAACCTCCTGCAGCCATGTCCAGGGCATGCCTTGCGCAGCGTTGATGTGAAGTGTTTCCCTTCTGGCAACTTTGGCTAAGCCTAAACGGTGTGTGCATGCTCAACCGTGCGTGGGTGCACAGCCGCCACTCAGCGTTCAGCTGGGCAAACCTGGCAGGATTGGAGCATGTGTGCAGAGAAAGGAGCAGTCCTCCACTAGTAAACTAGTCTTTAATTGCATTGCAACTGAGAACACATTGCAGTGGAAACAAGGGGCTCATTGTAAGCACGTGTTCATCTCCACACACCTCATATTTTCTGCAGACCGCTGACCCCCACTAGCATTTACAATAAAACACAAAACCAGCAATTAAGATGTTTGCATGCACTCACATGCATACACTTGTTAAACGTGCATCTGGACTTACACGTGCAGTTTCATTCCACCAATAGAACGCTGGATTCATCAACACTGGTTTAGGAGGAGTTGGTTTACTTGAATGAAGATGTGAAACATTGCATTATTGTCATAATCTCCTAAACATGTAGTTTTAATAATTAAAATGAGTGATAATATAAAAATGTGTGTGTGCATGTGTTTGCGTGTGTGTGTCTGTTGCATGATAGATCTGGGCTGGGTGGTGGTGCTGGTCTTATGATGTAAACCAGATGTGGTCTGGTTGCAGACTTTCTTGCCCACTTGAGAGAGAATGAGCTCTGTGTGTGCACGTTTATATATAGGTGCATGCAGAGCGCCAGCAATGATTACAAATCCAATGTAATTTTGCACAGTACCAACCACATTTGGCAGACTAGCAGATGCTGAAATGAGCTCATGCTTCAAATGGGTGACTGATAAATCATGCAGATTTCATAAAACAGCTCCAGTGACAGATACCGATGTTACTCCGGATGTTTAAAAGCTGAGTTACACAAACTACAAACATCATGGTGCAGGGAGTTGTTCTCGAACAAAATGAAAAAAGACCAAACTTTGCAGCAAGGCCATTAAAAAAAATGATGCATTTAAAACAAATTTCTTCTTGATTGAGAAAAATGTGTTAATCTGACACTTTTGACAGCACAGACATTTGTGTGCACAATGAATACTGTGTTGTTGCAACTGCCCAGCTGTCTTTTCCTTCAAACTGTCTTCTCCTAGTTAGACTTTCAGAAAGAATGGACTCATTCAAGTGGTCAGATGTTTCCAGCTGATGAAAACAGCCGCAGATGACATGAATAAACTGGCAGAGCGCGAGTGTAGCTTATACTTTCAGTCTGACCTCATTGCTCTCAGCAAGAACATGCCATGTAAATCTTTTCTGTTAGACTGGACACCGCTAAGGCTATTTCCTCTACTGGGCAGCCGCTGAAGGAGAATTAATGTGTGTAGATAAGCAATCAGCTGTTAATTATTAACCAATGCAGCAGACCTGATTATGATGAGCAGCCTCCTTTTTGTAGATGTCTTTGAGATCAGGCCAAAGAGAAATTCTTGGCTGCAGATAAAGTTTGTGGAGCTGAATTATCTCCCTCTATTTGATAGATAAACTTGTATTATGCTTTCCTGAACCTGATAGACCACAGAAATATTTATGTGCCTTGGCTGCTTTGTGCTACAGTCATGTTTACGTTGCAATTTGCAAACGCTCAACTTTAGATTCCACCAGAGGCAAGACCTGCACGCCCTTCAGCAGCTATACGTGTCAGTTTAGCCAGTGAGCGTAAATATTAGCATTCGTATTTCACCACGTCAGGAATAACAATGAAGGAAGTGTTACAATGGATCATGAGGCACCTGTCAAACAACTGCTAGAAAGAGAAATGGGCTCAGCTGCTGCCAGGGACACACTGGAAACAAAAAATCATACCGACCTCGGGAAGACATGCATCTCACTCTATTTTATTTTCTTATTCAAAGATATTCTGGGCTTCCAAATGGCTCCAGCCATAAATTAGCTATTTATGACCAAAGCAAATGCCATTTAAAAATAAACTGTAGCCGCATCAGAGCAGTAGTAGTAGTAGTTGGAGCTTTCCTGCCAGATCGTATGTCCACTCTGAAGAAAAGTGATTTAACTCTGGTGATACGTTGCCTGCTAACTGTTCAAACATATGAATAACATTTGATATTCCAAGCAGCAAACAGCAGGAAAAAAATAACCTGCTTAAAGGCGTGTTTTGTTATGAGCTTACAGGCTAAGCTGTCGTATAAGCCCTCTCATTATTGTGTCGTTGCCCACTGAAGGAAATGAAACATAAAGCATAAAGCTGGATGGTGAAGTGTCAGCCAACATGACCTTTAGACCCCATAACTAAAAAATCAGCTCCTTTTGTTTTGAAGGATCCTCAAACATGAAGAGAAACACCTTCAGAAACGAAAGAAGTCTGATTTCTGACAGGTAAGATGTGCTCATGAGTTTTAGTGGCTATCGTACTGATGTTTACAAAGAGGCACAAACTTTATTAGATTTTTTTCTGAAGTTTGTTTAAGGACACCAGTGAGTCAGATCCAGCTCACATCAACAGGACAGAACTCCAGATCCTGCAGTGAGGTACTGTTCTGTTTGTAAAACAGATGGCTTCTCTTCCTGTTCCACTTTTCCACTTTCACTCCATTTCCTTCTGGTTTTGAAGACCTGCACTGACTGTAAATGTCTAACGTTGAGTTAAATAAACATGGAGAGGGGACGTGAGAGTTTGAGGACAGAGAGACAAGAAGAAAAGCGTCTCTTTGAGCTGTGTTTAGTGTTTTCATGTGTACACTGTGAAAGTGGTTTTGCAACTGTCATGGCTGTATATCCTAAAGGTCCTGAGATCCCGTCGACTCGACGACTGTGAAAATAGAGAATTTGATCCTGGGTGTTATTGGCGTTGCACATAAGGCAGCTCTCACTTCTATATAGCTGATGTTGTTATAGCCTTGATGGGCTCTTGATCCCCAAGTACTCAAGAGCACATTTTATATGCATTTGAGCAAAATAGTAAAAAACCTCCAGAAAGCTGAGCAGGATCCCACTGTGCAAAAATCTAGTTTGGATGTCCTACAGACGTGGTCGGGACTGACAGACTCAATATAGACATGATCTGCACATCCATGCAACGCTGACTTTGCAGGGAAGGCAAAGCTCTCTACTGACCCGTTGATCTATGTTCACCCCTCATCTGTGGTCATGAGTTTTGGGTAGTGACCGAAAGAACAAGATTGTGGCATGAAGCGGCTGAAAATAGTTTTCTCCACAAGGGTGTCTGGGCTGTCCCTTAGAGATAATGAGAAGCTCTGCCATCTGGTAGGAGCTCTTTTAAGGTCAACTTTTCTGGTGGTTTTTATTTTTGAATGAATACCTCTGGTAATTGTTTCTGGATGTAGAAGTCAGCTGGAGGAGAAAGTGGCAGAAGACGGCAGGATTTGGTGTCTTAATTTATGATGTTTGGACATTTGGACAACAGCAACGTGACTACCACGGACTGTTTGCTCTGCAATGTTGATGTTTTATCTCCTCATATGACACAAGCCTGAAGGTGTTCTGGTGGAGTTGCTAATGCTAATGGTTAGCTTCTAGTCGAGACATTCTCTGCTGTTTCCTGGACACGAAATCACAGTGTGACATAGATCAGTCAGGCTTTTCTGAGCCAATCGTTTTTCTGTCTATTTTCTATCAGAAGCTAATGCAGGAGATAGACATAGGAGACTACTTTTATGTTCACCTTACGTGACAAACTCAGAGTGACCGATTATAATCAGAAATAATAATTAAAAAATGGTTTATAAGTGAACCTGCTCTTTAAAAAGATGACAGTTTCTTCCACTGTAAAACAAAACAAAACCCAGAAATATGAAAATGAAAGCACTGCTGCTAAGTGTTTGATGCCATTAAACCAAATTCCTTCCCTTTTCTGTTCTCGGTCACTAGCAACCATGTGCTCAAATATAATAACTGTGTTGTGTAAAGATCCTAAGGAGAACTGTGGCAAATTATAGAGCTGGTTCATCTGAGGGTCAGAGGAGTGAAACTAATTAAGTAATGTCCTGTTTTGCTCTTGTGGATTCATTAAATTTGCCTCCTGTCACTGCAGGATTGTGAGAAGAACTCTGCCCAAGACTGAAGCCTCATTCAGAAACGCTGAGCCAGAAGGGAATGCTGGAAGAGGCAGATGGAAAAGGAAACAATGCATCATAAATAAATCAAAAACATGCACAATGTGTCCTGTGATGTCCCTGATTACCTGATGCCCAAATGCAGATCCACTTCTCCCTGCAAACAGTCAAAGTCACATGGACGTGCAGATCATGTCTATATTGAGTCTGTTGGTCTAGACCAGGGGTGTCAAACATGCGGCCCACGGGCCGGATCCCGCAAGCAGGTTAAATCCGGCCCACGAGATGGTTGTGTAAACTTTATTTTCATACTTTACAATGTAGAGTGGAAATAAACTTATCTTTGTGAGCAAGTTTCCTCTGTAATGAGTATAAATAAAACAAAGCTGCGCTCAAGGCTCACACAAGAACTTGAATCACATCCTGAAGTTGGCCGCCACTCAGGATGTGACTTCTGATATTGATGTGCTGGTGAAAGCTAAAAGATGTAAAGTAAAATGAGTCAAATATACTTTAAGTGCTGCATGAAACTGATCTAGCCATGTGATCTGTAAGCACTAAGGAATTTTTATTTATTGATTGATTTTTTTTTATTTATTTCAAATTTTCAAGTACACTTCAGGTGTCATACTTGTACTATTTTGGATACACTGTCCTCAGGCTCCAGCCTTGTTTTATATTGATTGTATTAAAACAAAGAAAACAATCTGAAGTTGTTTTTAATTTACCGGTCCGGCCCACTTGGGACTAGATTTCTCGCAATGTGGCCCCTGAGCTAAAATGAGTTTGACACCCCTGGTCTCGACCATGTCTGTAGGACGTCCAAACTAGGTCTTTGCACAGTGGGTATGAAACGTTGCATGATTTAGTTCTGATATTTTTATTTAGAAAATAGTTTTAGTCATATATAGCAGATAAACTATTCACAGATGTAGCACAGGAAAACATAAAATCCTGAAAAAATAACCGAGAATCCAGCTGGAAAACATTTTATTCACATATTTTTGTATTGATAGTTTTATTCTTCATTTAATAATTTTTTTAACATTTATCAGATTGTTTGCTCACTTCAAGAAATATCTTTATTTGATTTTCTGAGGTGAATTTAAACTCCCTGACAGTAACATCTGATCTACAGATACTGTACACGAAGATAAATCCCTCCTTTTCTTGCCGTTTGTGCAGAAAGTCGGTGTATTTAATTATATTCCAGTAGTTTTTTTAAATGGTACTGGAGTTCACCACCGTCTGCCAGAACTGGCACATTTTGTATAGTTTCCTCTTCACCGTCTGAACATGATTAAGTGAATAAAAAAAAACACTCAAGTTTACAAAGATGTGAGCTGAAAAGGGAAAACTGTACATCTTTATATTATATTGCACTGCAGTGCACAACATGGAGTGAGATAAAGGGATCTGATGACCTTAAATCAAACCTTTCTCCAGGCTCATCTTCTCTGACCTCACTGTCATGGCTCTGTGCCCTGCGCCGGTCTGGCATGCGTTTAGAAACATTTCCACTCAGGCAAAGTGTCTCTTGTGTGTAAACTGTGAAAATGAGTGTTTTTCTTTCACGCTGACAAGTGAATGAAAAGTAAATAGAGCAGATTTATGACGCGCAGTCAACACAAAGGTGAGAAGAATGCATCAAACCCATTTCCTCTGAGTGCTTCCTTTTTGGCACAGCACTAAAATACTATTTTTGTCTTGTTGTTCTTCAGTGGGTCAGTAAAAAGTCACGTGTGCAGCTTTTCTGCTGACCTGATCCCATCTAGACTTTACCTCTGTGGTCCCTTTATCTTTAGGAAGCTTGGGAATATTAGCCAGATGGGAACACATGAGAACTGTCCTGATTCTTCTTCATGAGAGGAAAGGTTGAATAAGTCATGATGGATTTTGTTTTTCTAGAAAAGCTGGATTTCAGTCCAAATTAGGTTACATTTTTTCTTCAGGTTCCACATCAAAGCTCTTTAGACCCTATTCATACTTTACAGTATGATGATCATATAATCTGAATGGTGACAAACTCAGCAAGAGCTCAATGAGGTCTCAAGAAGACATTATGGTTTTCACTGAAGGTATGCAAAACCTTGTAGTGAGGTCAAATTAATGGGTATTTTTATGGGTCTGTGACACAGGGCATGTGTTTACAGGTGTGGCCTCACTATTAAGAGTTTGAAGCTGACCTCATGCCTTATATGGCCCCACTGTGATACAATCGTCATGGAAACTTTGCTGCTGATGAATAAATCAGTGCAAAGTAAAGCATAGCGAGGACCTGAAAGACATTAGGTCAAAACCTGTTTAACCCCGAGCGTGTCATCATCATCGTCATAAAGCAGTTTTAATAACTCTATGTTTTCATCATGGAGGGAGACACGGTGTGTCCAGTGTTTATGCATCTAGAAGAACTCTAAGAACATAACCGTTTAACAATCGTTACTCCATAAAATATCAAGCAAGTGACGTATGGCCCATCTAAACATCAGGGAGAGCAGGATTCCTTGGCTCTCAGTTTTCGGGTTTATTCATGATATTTGTGGTTTGCAGACATTTCATCCTGTCACCTGCTTGCTTACTTTTAACATGAAGAAAGAAATCGTTGTAAAAATCTCTCAGACCTCAGCACTCCCCGACCGCTCGCTGGCGCTGACTTATTTTTGGAAACTGCACTCATTTGAGTAATTTCCATTAAAAAGCCACTGACAGGCTCAAGAGGCAGAAAGCAGTGGATTTAAAAATCCAGAGGAGCAGTAAATTGTAAGCGGGGGGTCTGGGTGTGGATGTTGACTGAAGCTCTTATTGGGATATTTAATGGATAACTTCAGTGAAGCGAGGAGGAGGTCCATTGTGTCCAGCTCTGCAGCCTCTTGGCTGCTGGCCTCAGCTACACACATGGCACCACACACCAGGGTACCGCTTTGATGTACAGCTGCTCCAAGGAGCTGGAGAGGGAAACAAAAATTCCATTTAGATAAAAAAGATCTGTTGGGATGTGGGAGACAAGGTTGGTTTGAGACGAGGAACACGAGGACAGCAGCCGATGAAGAGTATAATAAAATAACTACACCTCTCTTATCTGGTCTGGAGTTGTTTCTTCACATGAAGGTTTTCATTCACATGAAACGCAGAATGAGAAGAATCATGAATTATACCGTGAGCCCGTTCCTCAATGTGCAGGACAGCCAGGCTGGAGTTGGGGTGGGATATGCAAATAGAGGCTGTCTGCCTGCCCCTTCATAGGCAGCAGGGCTGCACGCTGCTTCTTGTACACACACACACACACACACACACACACACACACACACACACACACCCTTCACTCATACAGAGCGCAGATTACTTGGAGGGCTGAGCCTCATCGGCAGGTCTCGTACACACTTGCATGTGTGTGTGTGTGTGTGTGTGTGTGTGTGTGTGTATGGAGCTTAAACTTTAGAAGCACTCACACTCTCTTCCCTCATTCTCTTCCTTCTCCCGCTCTCCTAATTCTCCTCTCCCCTCCTCCAGAACACCTTTGGGTGGTTTTCTTTGCTTTCATTCTTTCCCTTTCCCTCTCCAGCCTCACAAGCTTTCTTTGCTTCTCTGTCAGACTTAAAGTTGGGGGATAGCCTGAGACCTGAATGTGGACGGGGCGAGATGCTGCTGATGCTCTAGCTGCTCAAGCTCCATGCCTCCTTCAGAGTCCACGAAAGAAAACAAGACTTTAAGTGAGGCGGAGAGCAACTTCATTCCGTAAACTGTTTCCATCACCAGGCACTTGCTTTTCTGAAGGTCTGGAGCTCTTTTTAAATTTTTTTAAACGGCACAATGTGGACCAAGTTGTGCCAACTTCTTGCACAGTTGCTTCTCCTGGAAGTGTTGCTCTCTGTGGTGGACAGTAAAGGAACTCTGTATGGAGGCCACATCAATCCTTTCTATGGAAACAGATACAACCTCTACAAGGCCGGACTCAGCCCTCACCACTCACCAAACAAACCCATGACCCGTCACAAGTAAGTGCTGTGTTTAGTCCATGGCAGAGATACTAACTTTTATTTCTACTTGAGCATGAATGATTGGCTGGACTTACCTGGTACTCTACAGCCATCATGTCACCCAGTCTAAAACATCAATGACTGAGGTTTAAGATTTAAAAGCAGAAATTACAAAACTAAACCAATCTCGTGGTTTCACTGGCGCAGCGGCGAGACCGACAGGAGAAGGAATCTCCAAGGCCCAAAGGGGGGCTGAGTCAGGGATAAGACTGGCCCTACAGCTTGGTGCCAGATGGGAATGGCACTCAGAGTGTCCAATCAATAAAGCAAAGACACAATTGGCTCTAGTGATAAAACAAAGCTAATTAAACAAAAAAGCTACACTAAAGTAGAACATTACCAAGATGTTATGAAACTGTGAGAACCACAAAGCCATAAAGGTATGTCTACCTGAGCAGAGATGATTGTTTGACCTGAAGATGTCTTTTTAAGTTTTACCCCTCATTCCTCCTCCCTCTTCTCTTTTGCTTGGCTTCCCCTGAGAGCTGTTATGGCTTTGGACAGCTCCCCAGCTACCTGCTGCTCCCCTCAAACTGCTGCAGGAGGCTGCAAAATGCTGGGCTCTAAATTATCCACAACTGTCTCCATTAACCAGGCTGTCCAGCCTCAAGCACTCTCAGTGCAACATGAATCCTCACATTCCTCCTTGAATCACAATTAATTCAAATTCAAATCTAATTCAAAGATACTTTATTAATCCCAGAGGCAAATTAAAGAAACTCACTCACTTCTCACCTGAGCTTATTCTTTCAGCCAGAGTTATTAGACTCATCTGTGTTTCACTGGTTAAACGGCGAGGTGTGATTATCCAAAGTGTGAAAGAAAAAGAGTTCTGAATGATAGGCTAACAGCTAGGCTTCTATTTCAAAACAACTAAATTAAGATCATAACAGTTTATATAAACTCTTTTAATTGTTGTCAGTTTAGCACTATGAGTAGAAATAATGCTTTCCAACTTGAAGTGTAACAGAAATGCCACAAAAGCATGCAAAGCTAATTTATTGCTGTAAAACTAATAATAAAATAGAGTTCATGTGAGTTGATGACATATTTTATTGCAAAGTTATTTTAAGATTTTAAGATGTTTGTATTTATGATATGATCTTGAAAAACCATGTGCCATTTGTGTGAATATGTTGCAAAGTAATTTGCCAAAAACTACCAGACAACATTAACTATTAGTTATTTAATGTCTAGAAAGGGGCGGGATTAAATAAGCTGATGCTTCTTCCTACTCCCTTTTGAACATGTGTAAAAAAAAAAACACAAGGAGAAGTTACTTATGTTGTGTGTATTACTATGTGTATGTATGCATGTTCAGTGTGAAGACAAAGACAAAGATGCTAATAATGTTATGAGCTGAACTTAGAAGACCCGTAATGATGCCAAACACAGTAAAAGTATATTAAAAAGAATCTTTTACTTTTTGTGGAGTTACCAGAGGAGGGCGAGGCAGGAGATAGAGTCGGAGGGCAGGCGTGAGTCAAAACCAGATCGGCACAAGCAGGTACAGAGAGCAGGCTGGACACGTGGTAGAAGACAGGCGAGGGTCGTGATGGCAGGCAGAGTTCAAGGCAGGGGTCAGGAGAAAAAAACAAGGTCCGGAGGCAGAGATCAGGCAGGGTGGATGGCTGGAGAATTTACTGGCAAATGTTTTCAATAATCTGGCAGAGACTGGGTAGCTGGATGGTTCTTTTAAAGCAGGGGAAGCAGGTGTGTGAGATGAACCTGATTACAGGAACAGGTGAGATGAATGGAGTTGATGGTGGTTGTCAGGGAAACAGGGCTTGTCAGGAGCTTGGTGAGGGGACCAGGTGAGCTGAATGAAGGCTGAAAAATGAGAGTAAATGAGGAGGCAGAGGAGGGTGAAGGATGGGAGTCATGACAAATAATCCACTTTGGAACTCACTCAAACTAGCTGTTAGCTTGTCAATCCAACCAGAAGTACTAACATTTTTCCCAACTGAGGCCGTTCAAAAGCTATCCATTAAAGGTAAAATGTTAATGACCTTTTCACAGAAATCAACATTAAATGATCCGAACTATGCCTTTAAGGCAGAATTCATTTTAATTACTGCTGGGAAAATATATTTATACAGCCACATGCCCTAAATTATTTTCTGTGTGGGAAGAGAAATATTGAGGCTATGTGCAGTAGCAACACTGTACCTGTCACAGCTTCACCAGGTGGTGACTGCCATTCATCTTCCAGTGAGTCATTAGAAGCCACAGAGCTCACACATGTAGTCTAACCCAGGGTTACAGTGATAACTGTCAGATAGCAAGTTAGAAAGAAAGCTGGATTTTAATCAGCAAATTACCGAAACTTTATTACCTTGTAGGAGTTTAGAACAAACACGCAGATGCTGAGAAAATAATGTTGCTTTGTGTTCAGTGTCCTGCTTTTCATCGAGTCACAGCCAAAAGGCCTCCAGTGTTGGATCTCAAACATATTCCCGTGATTAGGTAAAAGTTTAATATCAACAGCAATCTAATGACATGTTTGCAGTCTAGAGTTAATTGGGCCAACATCCATTCTGCAGAGCTGTGATGGTACAAGAACATAAATCTGGTTCTGGATGAACTTTAATCTGTCTTAAAGTGCTTCCATCCCAATTCTCTTGCTTTTAGAATACACACAGTCTAAACCAGACCTGGTGACCTGTGTCAAGCCCAACAGGTCACTGTCAGATCACTCCGGTTATACGTGCTCAGTTGTTGTCAGCCTGACTGGTCAGTGGAAACAGGGGCTTAAAAATATCTGACGTGTGTGTGTGTGTGTGTGTGTGTGTGTGTGTGTGTGTGTGTGTGTGTGTGTGAGTGAGAGAGAGAGAGAGAGAGAGAGAGAGAGAGAGAGAGAGAGAAGAGAGAGAGAGAGAGAGAGAGAGAGAGAGAGAGAGAGAAGAGAGAGAGAGAGAGAGAGAGAGAGAGAGAGAGAGAGAGAGAGAGAGAGAGAGAGAGAGAGAGAGAGAGAGAGAGAGAGAGAGAGAGAGTTCTCTGAAAACACATTTTCATTTACAAAACTCTCTTGTTCTGGTGAGGTATTCCCAAATTCTCATCCACTTGTGTTCTGCAGACATTTTGACGTCTTTTTCAATTATCATCTATGTTTTGGCAGCAAAGCGAGTGATTTGATTTCACAGTGACTTCTTTCATTCAAAGCAACCACTTGCTGCTGTGAGAAAATGTGTGGCCATCCAGTCACTGACTGTGACATCTTTGGCAGTAGCAACACTGTACCTGTCACAGCTTTATTGCAGATGCGATGTATTGATTTTACAGCTGCTTTTTAAAAATTGTTTTGGCACAAGAGTGCAAGATAAAAAATACATATGTGAATGTTAAAATTTAAGTTTCACATTCTCAGAACAGCAATTGCAATGCTCTGAACTGCAACAGCATCCTTCGCATCTCTTCTAGCACAATGGCTGTTCCCTGTAAAACAGCTGAATCCAGAACAGCCATCAGCAGTTTCTGCTCTTCAGTCAACTAGAACTCCAGCAGATGTCGCTTGTCACCACTGATGAGATTAGAGATGTATCCTAAGGATTTTCTGTGATGTATGAGACAGAGATCAGAGGGGTAAAGGTCACTGAGTTGATGGAGGTTAAAGGTTATGGTTTAGGCTGAAAGTCCAGTGGAGAACAGCAGCAGCAGCAACTCCTGCTAAGAGCTTTATTATTTATTTATTTATTTATTTTTTAGGGGGAAAGGGACAAAATTAAGACTGGGCAGTAAACTCCTGAGCTCCAACAACCTAGTTATTTATCAAACGTGATGTTTCATCAGGTAAAAACCAAAAGGGTTTCTTAGTAACAGCGAGACACTTGTCTCTTCTTTGCGCTGCAAAATAATGATAGATTTTTATTTGTTTAGGGTTAACCAAATGTTTACTAGAACTAGGCTATGTTCAGAAGAATGTGTGCAGGCATGTTTATTCTGATTTTAACTCAGTCTGGATGCAACTCATAAAACATTTCTGCATCTGCTGCCTAACGAACATGTCCATCATATGATGCTGCTGTTGTGTCCTCGGGCAATACACTTCACCCTCCTTACCTGCTGGTGGTTGTTGGAGTGGCACCTGTGCTCGGCAGCCTCGCCTCTGTCAGTGCCCTCCAGGGCAGCTGTGCCTATGTAGCTCATCAGCACCAGGGTGTGAATGTGTGTGAATGACTGTGTTGTAAAGCACCTTGGGGGGTTCTATATCAAATACAAGCCATCAACCATGATTTTGTATGAAGCATCTACAAAGGAAGCATCACTACAAAGGAAGCATCACTACAAAGGAAGCATCAATTACAGGTTAATTTGAGCTGCTTTTATGAACTCAAAGAACTTTGAAGACCTAAATCGCCTCATTAGAACACCTGCATGTTCCTCACTCTTAGAAGTTAAAATGTCTGCTGTGAAATACACTTACTTCTACAATTTCAGACTTTCAACGGGCTGCCTCGAACCTCTGCATTTCCCATAATTTTGAACTTTGTAGGAAGAAATAATTTAAACCTACAGCAGTGCCTGCTTTCTTTTGCGAGTCATACTGTTTCATACACGTGAGATCTTGCTCTGGTTCCTGATGCAGACTTTTGTATCCTGCTGATATAAGAGAAAAGTGAGGATTCAGATTACTTGACGGATTCTAATGAAAGCGGTGCATGAGCAAATACATGTTAATGTGTCCCACAAAGACAAAGGTGAGAGACACTCTGTCCCTTCAGATTTTCTTCAACACCTCAAGCTTTTGGCAGCTATTACAAGTGGCTCAAGGATGACTGTTGGTTTTTGTAACATAAAAAATAACTTTTATTTGTTTAAACACATATTTGAAGCAAATATGGAAACAAGCAGGGTAAATTATATTAAAATGCTATAGATTACTAGCCTGGCAAGCCAGACTAAATAAATGTATTATTTAGTCTGGCCACGCTCCATTGACGGCTCTTGGTTGTGGGGCG